GTGTTAGTCGCCTTCCCAAGTCTAGTGAGTGGACTCAACACAACAGCTGCCTCCAGTGGACCCTAAAACGATGGGGCAGCATCTGTCTTCCTGGAATGTCCTGCTGCAAAGGTTTTGTCAAGGCAGAAGGAACTGTTTCAAAATGGAACTGCCACTGTCATAACTGGGTTGAGCAGACATTTCTGGAAGATCTAGGAGTGACATGTGATGACTACAAAGGGAATAGAAACTAGTTTCACTCAATGGCAGAAATTTCCAGGGGATAAATTTTAGAAACTTTTCTTCTAAAACAAACAAATTCAATACTTAAATTCTTTTGTCTGCTCAGTTGCTCATCACAAGGAATTGGTCCACAATGACATTCTGTATGTTACTCAAAACATGTTTCAAAGAGAGACAAAATCCTGCGAATGGAACAAACTCATGGAAACATGGTAGTACTAAATGAATTTATTAATTTCAAAACAGTAATAAAAGGATTGTTTTAAATGGAAATGTTTTCTATGTGCTCATTACTTTTAAAGCCCACCTTTGGGGGAAGCCACAGAACAATTGGCAGTTATAAATCCTACCATGGCAAAGCAGAACAGAACACTCTTGCACTGGCACAGAATTTTGATTTAAAATAAAAACTGTCCCTTGTTCACGAACATCCTCATAAACACCACAAACCAGGGCAACAGTGAAAGGGAAAAATTGCCCATATATGGCAATCAGTTTCAACACGAGGCTCATCAATAGCCCAGTCTTTCACAAGGCACATCATTATCTATCTGATCTGCCAAAGCTGATCCTTAACAACATTGTCTTCAGAACAGTTGACATACCCTGGAAAAGTCTGTCTTGTAAATCACAAAGAAAGATGACAGGTTTCACAGATTTCATCAGTGATAAAAAGAAGGGAGGCATAAAGGAACTGATATCAGGATACTTACCCTTCCTGGCACAATGATCTCAGTGAACTAAATAAATGTATTTCAAGGGGGAAAAAACAAAACTTCCATACCCCAATTTTTATTGAGACCAAGAAAGAAACCACTGACTTAACCCATTTATCTCAGTTCCCAGCTAAATTGAGTTTTTGAAATGTAAAGACAAATGATCAGGCAGACGGTAAGATTTTATGGTATAAAAAATGGTGAGGAAGATTGAATCAGGGGAGCAGACTGGTCAAGTTGTAGCCTCTCCCACCTATGCCAAATCCACAGAAACAACAACAAAAGATTTTCAAAAGGAAAAGGAATCCACTATACTACTAGGTAAAGAGAAGTATTCTCCGTGGACTAGCCACTACAAGGAATCCATGAAAGCAAGAAAACAACTGCGTGCAGACAGACAGAAAAATCACAGTTCCAACACTCAAGGAAAGGATGTGCTAAAAATGAAACCAGAGATGGCTAATGCATGGAGCCCAAAGTACCAAGGGCAACACACCTTGTGGGCTAGGAGTCCTCCTACAGAAGTAGCCACGTGGCCAACCCCTTCACACTTCTACTGGCCACCGTGGACCAGACAGAGACATGGTATCTGTTCCCAGATGCAAGCTGTGTGAGCACTGAGTTCAGAGAGGCCTGGGAGTGGGCCTAAGGCAGACCAGGGAGCGCTCACACCCACAGACGGACTGGCACAGGCTCATCCTGCCCTTCCCTGCTCTTTGGAAGAGTTTAGAGCTTTAGATTAATTAATATCCTCAGCAAATCCAAGAATGACCACATACATACACCCCCAAAAAAACAGATCTTGAAAATTTAAATTGTCATCACTGAAATTAAAAATCCAGCGGATAGGTTGAACACTGAATGGGCACAGCTGAAGAGCCACTCACTGAGCTGGGAGCTCCAGTTAAGTAATTCTTCCAGAATGTAAGCACAACAGAGGAAAGCTAAGGGATATACAGAAAACAGGAACATAAGATCCAAGATCTCCCAAACAGAAGAGTTTTAGAAGACCAGAGAAGGTGAACAAAGGAATAGTAACAATAAAGAGAGGAAAAAAAGTATCCAGAACTAAACAGACGATCTCTGATTGAACAGGATCAGCAGATGATTTACTCCTAACAGCCTGAGTTTTTAGATCACCTAGGATGTTGAAACAACTAAAAATAAGCACATAAAGAGGGGAAGGGACTCTAATTAGAATTCCAATACCATCAAGCATTTGGATAAGCTGTTTCATTCAAATGGGCATTAGGACTACAGATGAGACCTTCCTTTCCACCCAGCCTCGGGGATCAATCATTTCAGTAACATCCATACTGCTACCAACAGCTGGTCACCCAGGCCTTGGACCTCCACCCACTTCTGTGAATTATGTAAATACAGTTGTTCAGATCACATCTTGGACCTTGAGATCTTGAAATGAGCCACTAAATTCCTCTGACTACAAACCCCAAGCCGATCACCCTTCCCATCAAACAGGGTCTTTGGCCTCCTCAGACTTGCTGTCCCTTCACCATCACACTGTCCTCCCATGCTGTCAAGTTAGCACTGCTGATGCAACTTCCTTCCTCAGTTTGTCTGGATTCCACAATAAATCTCTTGATGTTGCATTAGGAACCTCCATTAATCCTCCACAAAGTCTTGTGCCACGTCTACCAACAAACTCTCCACTAGACTCAATATACTCCATCACAAATGGCCTAACTCCTGGGCTACTAGCCCACTTGGACATGACACAATCATGTCAATTGGCTCTGCTGCAAACAACTGATCTCTAGCCTTACCTGGGTCCTTGATGGCCTCAGAACTATCTGAAAAGTCTTTCTTTGCTTCAAGTCAGTTCCTAAGCCCATTCTTCATAGTTATGTCCCAAATCTCCACCATTCTTCCAAAGTTCTCTAGTTGCCCCAGCTCCCCTCACTCAAACAAACGACAGCACATCATCAGTGTTAGCCACTCAGTCATGTCCAACTCTTTGAGACCCCATGGACTGTAGCCTGCCAGGCTCTTCCAGCCATGGAATTCTCCAGGCAAGAATACTGGAGTGGGTAGCCATTTTCTTCTGCAGGGGATCGTCCCCAACCAGGGATCAAACCCGAGTCTCCTGCATTGCAGGCGGACTCCTTACTGTCTGAGCCACCAGGGAAACCCCACATGATCAGGCTTTTCTCAAAGATGTTTTGTGAGTTATTAGTATACCATGATAAACTTTAAATGTTAAGGTAAAATAGGTTAGGAAAAAACTGTCAACATAGAACAATAAGGTATTACTTCCTGTTCTTAAGAAGTCAATTATTCCTTTCAATTGCACTTCATCCTACCAGTTACCGCGCCTCAAATTCCCTCCTATTTTGGCTTCCATATCACTCTTCTGCTTTCCTTCCCACTTCTGACCACAACCCTTTCAACTCCTTCACCAGCTTCTCTGCCCACAGGCCAGTATGCCTCAGATCTCCTTCTTTTCACTGTTACATGCTCCCTAGGTGATCTCATCCACACCTACAGCTGCATTTGTTACTGTCATATGCTGATGACTCCCTCATTACATCCAATAACACAGACTCAAATATCCAACTGCATATAATCATTTTTACCAGTTGCCCTCTACACATCTCAGCCTCAATATATCAAATCAAACTCTTATCTATTCATCTACTTTTCTGCATTTCTCTTTTGGTTTATGGAAATACCATCCACTTACTTTTTCAAGAAAGGAAACTTAAGTCACCTTTCACATTTCTTCTTCCTAAAAACTTACACCCAAGTAAACAAGTTCACATGATCTAATCCAAAATGTAATTCAATGCGTTCCTCACTTGTCACTTGCAAAGTCACTACATCTCTCTCACCCAGAACCTCCACCTTGTATTACATGTATCTACACCTGTGAGAGGTAACCTGGGCTGCACATTAGAATCACATGGGGAACTTATGCAACTCCTAATGCTCAGCACACACCTCAGGTCAATTATATTTAAGAGTCTCGGAGAGTGGGATTCATGATCAGCATATTTTTATAAGACTTCAGAGGACTCTAACATGCACTCAGACTTTAAAATTTCCAGATATGAGCCCACAGAATGAAAGTGCATACTGAATACTAACCAAGAAAAATGAAAACAAATTATAAAATGAAACAAGTAAAAGTGAAACTAAATAACCTCAAGGATAAAGGGAAACTTATGAAAAAGCACCTAGAGACAAGACATGTTAGTGTTAGTCGCTCAGTCGTGCCAGATTCTTTGCAATCCCATGGACTATAGCCCACTAGGATCCTCTGTTCATGGAATTCTCCAGGCAAGAATACTGGAGTGGGTAGCTGTTCCCTTCTCCAGGGGATCTTTCCGACTCAGGGATCGAACCCAGGTCTCCCACATTGCAGGCGGATTCCTTACCATCTGAGCCACCAGGGAAGGCCAAATAACCTCAGGGATAAAGGGGAAGTCATGGAAAAGCTCCTGGAAAGACAAGACAGATTTACCTACAGAGGGGAGAAAATTACACTAGTAGGAGACTTGTCATCTGCAACATCAGATGACAGAAGACAACTTAAAAAAAATCTTCAAAGTGGTGGGACTGAGGGGAGACTGTGAACCTAGACTCTATGGCCTGCTAAACTGCTCTTCAAGAATGATTTTTCATACACACAAAGCTAAGACTCTACTATTCATGGACCATCACTTGCAGAATTACCTTACAAAGAACATTATGTCATTATCCAGGTAAGTGAGCCAAAAGGTCACAGAAGTATTTAACGATGTTGACCAAACCTGGATTTCCCCTAGATGTGTGAAACAGATGCACCACAGAGAGGACCCAATGACCTCAATGAGAGTAAAGTAGCTCAGTGCAAACAAAATAAAGATTATAACAAAAGTATGACCAGGGTTCTTGCTAGTTACTTTTACTTATTTGCGCCTTCATAGAATTTAAGTTTCAGTTTTCAACTAGTCAACGTTTGAAACCTTAAATAATAAATGCCAGGAAGCACTGCCAATACATCCGTATTAAAATACATTTACCATCTTCTTCCACTGCCAAGAAAAAAATATAATATACTTATCAAAATATCAAAACAATTTTATTTTTGTCAGAAATACATTTTCCTGTTTTCTAGGTGATAGGAAAATAATTCAAGAACTTAAAGTAATAATCATTCAGTTCCTGTAATACTAAACTAATACCAGTTTCCTTCATTTTTCTTAATAAATTCAACCATGCATGTTAAATTTTATTAAATTAATCCTCAGTAATAAAATTCTAAGATTAACCACAAAGAAGAAAGACTCTTAACCAAGATGATAATTATATATTTAATACATCTTGCTTTAAACAGCAATTTCCAAAGTAAACACATCATAGACCTTATAACTTATTAAAGATTTATAGTGCTTACAAAGTTGATTCTAAAAATATACCTTATTTGTTCTAAATGAATAACATTATCTGGAAGATAGAATAATAAATTATAGTAGCATGTTTACCACCACTACAGTTAAGATTGTGTACATATATTCAATATGAAATCTTAGGATTTTCATACTTTCAGCCTTAAAACATAAGAGCAGATTAAAGTTTGGCATATAAGACCTCAGTCTGATAGCGATGGTTTTAAAATCAAAAATGAAAAAACATCTAGTTGACATTACAAGAGCAGGAGCACATGCGCACACACATACACATTCTCTCCCTCATTCAATCCAACACATATCCAACACATACAGATACATACAAAAAAAACCACACACACTTCCAGAGTAAACAGAAGATTTTGCCCTTGTGTATCAGAAATGTCATCTATTAAAAAAAAAAAAAAATTGGGGAAAAAAGTTAAGAGTATGTTTAAATCATACTTCAAAGGCTCCAGCTGTTGGAAAGATATGCATGAAACTATTATCGGGATCTTTAACGTGCACAGTATGCCATCCCAGTTCAGTCTTAAATAATACATTCCTGAAGTATTCACTAATGAGTACATGAATACATAGGACATTATGTGCCCATCCACTTCCCAGATGGCAATCCGCTGACAATAAATCATATGATGCAGCCCAGTTCAAATGGTTTACTTTATAGAATCCAATAGATTATAGAACCCAAGAGAATTAGAAATTTCATTTGGACCTGTTTGGGATTTCTTATACATTCAATGTACAAAAGTAGTGGAATACTACATTGTAATTGACAGTTAATATCACTTAACACTGTGGCACTGCAGAAGGTCATTTTGTATTTCTAAAGCATATTTATTCCAGTTAAATTTTTCAATGGTCCCTACTTTTAATTTCTAGATTTAGACTCAAAACAGTTTAATGCTGATAAATTCTTCCACTTGTCACTTTTTACCTCCAGTAAAATCATCAAAACAAAAAATTACTTTGAACTCTCTCCAGTAATTCAGGTTTGCAAATATTCCAAGGAAGTTCTTTTTCATTATATATTTAAACACCCAAAGCTCTTTGAGATGATATTAAAATAGAAACTAACCACACATTAGGCACCCATAACTCACACTGCTGTAATTAGAAAATAAAAAGGCACAACAGTAAGTGAAAGAGAATATACCAGCTTTCCATTTGCTTTTTTTTTTTTTTTTGGCTTTCCTCATATTTTATTTCATCAACTTTATAAATTGTTCAAAGCACTCTTATAGTCTGCATGACGGTAACAGAATTATTTTGGCACATCAACACTGTGATACGATATATGGTATACCTAAAAAATTAATTTAAAAATGTCATCTATTAATCAACATGTTTTTTAATGTAGCGTACATATATTTTACAGTTATTTAAGTCAAATACATAAAGGCTTGTACTTGATTTACAGATGAAGCAATCACAGATTGCAGTAACATATGTATGTGTGTATATATATGTATATGTGTGTGTGTATGTGTATATATACACACCAATCAAGGGAAAAACTGCATCCTGGCAATTTTATAGTCCGAAGTTTTGTTGGTCTATGTATCATTTGCATGCCTTTTTCATCTTGCTTTTCTGTACAAAAGATATATTTCTGCCTTCTTCATTCTTGATGAGATTTTTCTGCAATAACTTTACATTCATACTGTAAAAATTAAAAGGTTAAAAGGTTAACAGAGTAAGTTAATTTTGAATAGCAATTTCCATATAAACTAAAAAGGTCTAAATGTAATAGTTCATTAGCATATGCCCACTGTATTCCTCGAAGAATCTGAGAGTTGCACAACTATTAGTTGCACAACTATTAAATAACCATTATGATAGGAAAAAAGAAAATTCACATTCTAGCTGCTGCTGCTACTGCTAAGTCACTTCAGTCGTGTCTGACTCTGTGCGACCCCATAGACGGCAGCCCACCAGGCTCCCCTGTCCCTGGGATTCTCCAGGCAAGAACACTGGAGTGGGTTGCCATTTCCTTCTCCAATGCAGGAAAGTGACAAGTGAAAGTGAAGTCACTCAGTCGTGTCCGACTCTTAGCGACCCCATGGACTGCAGCCTACCAGGCTCCTCCATCCATGGGATTCTCCAGGCAAGAGTACTGGAGTGGGGTGCCATCGCCTTCTCACATTCTAGAGGCATAGCCAAAAGCAGGAAAAAATGAGATTTCTGCATTACAAGCAAATGACAATAGTATATAACTTAGATCAATCCTACAATATAAAAGAAGGAAAAATATACTTCTGTGTGCACTCACTAAGGCATACAAGCAAAGGAAACATCACACACTTAAGGACAGGACTAATATCGTAAATTTGGATATTTTTTCAAATAACTTTAAATTTGAAAAGAAAAAATCTACTATATCAGCAAAAGCTTCAAATCAAAACAATATTTTAGAAATAGAGCTATAAAAATGTATACTCATAATTCAAAATAAAGTAAACCAATGGATTTGGGATAACTTAGAGATTAGGTTACCAAATCTAGCATTGTAAACCACTCAATTCTCTCAGCTGGCTAAAATGGTAAAAGTGACAGCACTTATTCATGGAAGTGCTGTGGCATCTGAATGCTACTCCTTTACTTGACATCTATAGCTGGGCTTATCAACAATGTCCTTTTCCTTCTTAACTAAAGTGATCAAACATCTTGATTTGCTGAAATAGTCCTAATTTATATCTACTATAGCAACATTATTATAAATAGTGCCTCTTCTCACTTTTAAAACTGTCCCTTTTTCATGGAGTAGAAATGTATAGAGGAGTAAAATAATAAAAATTGGAGGATAAATCTTATCACCTATCAGTAACATATTTTAGATTTTCTATCCAAAGGTTCTTTCTATTTTTTAATACACTTGCGATTAAATCCTTCCAAGTGATTTATTCCACTGCCCTTTGGAGAAAATTTATCTTACATCTCAAAAACAAAAAGGTGACTAAATAAGCATGAGCTTACCATTGCCAGTTGTCGACCAATGTTTCCCATTGTTATGCCTCCAGCAAAAAATATACATGGTAACCAAGAACGAACATAGAGAAAATCTGGAGATGTATATCTAGAATAACAGAAACATTTTTAACAACTCACAAAGGAAGTAAGCACAATGACACTATTAAGATAATTACAATGGAAGTAAGTTACACTGAAAATTAAAGTGGCTAATGCAATTTTAAAATCTCAATTCTGAATTCACTTATCATTATTTTAGGAAACAAGTACCAAAAAGAATACTTACTGATAAACACCATTATAGACTAGCAGCTGAGTGACCAGAGTTGCCAAGAAAGCAATTCCTACTCCAAGGCCAAAACCACTTCTAGATCTATCAAAAGTCCACCACAATCCAATGGATAGTGCAGCCAGTGTGAGAGACAACTGTATGTTGTTATCAAAATCCACTTTCTGAGGTCAGTGTTAAAGAGTCATCTTAAAATTTGTAACCAAATATTGTAAAGTAAAATAAACAAACAAATAAATTTTAAAAAACAAAGTATTTAATTAAATTTGTTACAAAAAAAATTTGTAACTAAATAATATCATCTGTTCATTTTTCTAAAATAAGAGATGTTAATGATAAGACTGGAGTGCATTCAATTTTTAACACAATGTACAAGACTAGACAGGATTAAAACTATGATGGCATGATACTTCACTAATAGATCTTACTGATGTGACATGCAATCTCTCCAAAAAATGGCACACTATATACATTTCCAATTATTAAATCAGACCCATTATTTAAGAAATGCTTTCTTCACAAAATATGTAATTGGAAGCTTCAAAATAAAAGTATTGCTAAAGGCACACACTTTTGCTAAAATGGAAACCACTATTACTTCTCAAACAGGTTTAGAATTGTTTGAGAATCATACAGGAACTTGAAAATAGAAGAGTTGACAGCTATTTAACAGGGTACCACAGTCTCTATATGATTTACTGACAGACACATTTTATAATAATGCAGTTCAGAAACAAGAGTACCAAGGACACACTATCCCTTTCTATTATGTCAACTGTTCTAGTTTTAATTTGTTGAGGAGAAAGCCTTGAAGTGAACATTATCTTCCAACCTGCCAAGCTATTTTGGTTCCTGAGACTTTCTGGTATAGGACAGTTTGCTCAAATGATATTTTATTTCCATCACCTACTTAAGCATCTATTCACAAATATACAGCCCTTTTCTACTCCAAAATCTCTGGGCAAAATGAAGCTTTATAAATTCAATTTTCTAATTTCTTTGCTAGAGGATTACACTAAAGGAATTAATTTCAAGTATCATTAAAAGGGCATTATCTATGTCCCAAAGGCCACATCTTGGCTCTATATTCACTTCCCCAGAGGAGACTACATATCTTGCCAAACTAACTGGCCATGCCGCAACTACAGAGAAGAGAGAACAAGCTCCAAAAATGCATATAAAACTATTTTCCACTTCCTTTAGCACTGTGCTGTATAACCATCCCCCCTCTCCTACTCAACCAGTGGGCACCCTGAACACCCAGGCTGCTTATGTCTCAGCAGTCACAGACCACTCAAAATCAGTCCTTGTTTAGGCTTGATTTATAAAGAAACCTATAGTCCATGGGTATGCTTTCCGAAAAAGCTTTTATTCTTTAGAGGCTTTTAAACCTCCAACTCCAAAAAAATGCTTGAGTTCGCTGATTTCTCTATGTAATAAACACTCTTGTAATGAATGGAGTTCGACATTAACTGGGTTCTATCTTTGTTAACTAAATTAACTTTGTTGTAAGAGTCAAAGCAAAATAAGGAGACTTCCAGGGAACAGGTAAAAACATCAATCTTTAAAATATTATAATGTGACTTTCTAAAGTCTAAACAACCTAATATTAAGTCTGTGTTTTAAAATCTGTAAACATTTTGGATTTTGCTTAAAGGATGAACAGAACAGGTGAGATGGCTATATTTAAGGATTTCATTTAGCGAGAAAGAAAAGAACCACCAAAGCAAAGAATTTAAAATAGACATATAAATCTTTTAAATTCCAGAAAAGGTTATTTAAATTTCTCAACTTAAAAAGAACTGAACTGTCTAGGCTAGAAAGGTCTAATCCAGCAGACAGAGATGAATTTACACACTTGTAGGGCTCCTGGGTCAGAAAAGGAAAGTTCCGAGACTCACCAGGATCTCCAGGGTCTGGCCTAGGCTCTGGCACAGTCTTGCAGTATGAATTACTTAGCCAAGTACCGAATCTCTAGAGCTTTCACTTCTCTTGATAAAGAAAACATGGAACTAGAAGATTTCTAAGTTTTCCTCTAGATATAATATTCTATGAGTCTGTCTTTCTAAAGCCCTAACCACTAGATTTGTTTGTTATAAAATCCTAATTAAAGATTTCACAAAACTAAACATATTGAGAAACTCTTTTTTTTTTTCCATTTATTTTTATTAGTTGGAGGCTAATTACTTTACATCATTACAGGAAACTCTTTTAAGAAAACAAGAAAGGGAAAAATCAAAAATAAGAGCCACTGAGGCATTTTCCAGGAGCTTCACAGATCTCTAAGAACCAACACAACTGGGAACAGAAAGATAAGATGTGTTTTCAGAATCTAGGACTCAGCTTCTTTCCTTGGTTCCTCTTCTCCAGCTTCTCCCAAACAATCACCTTGATACTTTCTGTTAAAAGACACTGTAATCTCCTTGCCCCATGACACATCCTCTCTTCAGCTAACTAAGCCCAGCACAGAGTTTCAAGAGGAAACCTCACAGTCTGAGTCACAGGTCTTCTCTTTACTTCACCTTCTAAGCCATATCTTCTAGAAAAGGGAAGACTGAACTAGCATTTCCCAGATCCTCTTTTACAGAGGGAAGCCAGGGACAGGGGTTCAGGTAGGAGGCAGAGAGGATGACAGGATAAAAACCTTATGAGGGCAAAAGCTTTTGTTCTTGGGAGGACATCTTTTGCTGGGGAGGGGGTAGAAGGCAGAGGAGAGATGGGAAATAGAGGTTACTTTATCCTTCAAGCCAGAACATTATGAAAACACTCATGAATCAGTAGATTAAAATGTCAGAATCCTTAAAATGATTAAACTTTAAGAATATGTAACTTAGGAAAAAGAGGTTCTTTTTGAACACAGTCTATAAATTGGTTACTTCTACTTCTGCCCCTTTTAAGAACATTTATGTGGTTTGTGGGTGTTAATTAACACCAACAAATGACAGTCTTTAAAAAAAAGAAAGTATATATACATATATATATATTTTTCAAATTAAAAAAAAAAACAAAACAAAAAAACAACTAGTACCTGAAGTCACATGTCCTTACTGGCAAATCTTAAATAAAGAAAAGAAATCCCTTTGAAAATGTACCTGTTTCAATGTTAGAGCTAGCAAAACTAGATGGAGGTAATTAAGTAACCTAATTCAAAGAAAAATAGGTAAATTTTTTTTAATATACAGTTTCTGAGTGATATCAAAAAGTACGGATTGAAGTGAAAGGCTAGACCCCACACTGTACTTGCATAGATGCTTCAACAATGTGGCACGTGTTCTTTTTATGACTAAGTGGGTATATCACAATTCGACAACAGTGAGGTTGCAAGGGTCTGCTTAACCTTTGGTTTCTCAGAAGCTGCCTTGTTATGACGCATCTCATCGCAGCAGAAAGGATATAGCGCTGGCGTGATTTATACCAACAAAGACGGCTACGCACCGCATCACACTGGACCACTCTCTTTTAAACTTATGCGGTTCTCCTAGATGCCTGTCAATGCAGGGGTATAATAACCCAATCACAGCTGTGGGGGAGAAAAGCAAAAAATTAAGTCATCTCCAACGGTTAAGCTAAGGGTCACAACAACCATCATAAGCATTTGAAAGAGTCTCTAGAAAAGTTTTTCAATTTACTTAACATTAATCATTGATACTATAAACTTACCTCCCAAAAGAAAAAAAAAGTGAGGATAACACGACTGAAGACAGCACTGTAAATGATTACAACAGCAGTCTCAATTACAAAAGACAAAACAGTATTTCATTGTATGATTGAGAATTCAACAGACTGGACTAGAGATGAGTCACACCACTGTTCTACTACTAGTGTCTCTGAGACTTGGAAACCATCAAACCAGTTAGCAATTAAGTAATGTTCTCTTTAAGCTATATAATCATGCAACATGCCATGAAATGACACAAATCTAAACAGAAGCTTGAAGCGTAAACATGTACAAGCTCATCACACATGTACTACTAGCTGGCTATGGCTACACTGCAATACAGAGGACCCTGTCCCCCCATCAAGTGTCTTGTCCTGATGCTCCCTTCCAACCTGGCCCTCTCATGAGACTCTAGGTCAGCTTGTCAAAGTAGGGCAACTCACAACAGAAATCTATTCTAAGACTCATCCTGCAGAGGAAAAATGGAGAAAATATGGTATACAGAATCACAAGTTTTCAGTAAAAACTGAAACTCACTGTTAAAAAGATCAGAAGAAATCATTTTAGAATATTTCTTCATTTTGGAAAGAACATATTGAAAGCTAACAGTGCAATTAATTATGAGTAATTCAATTTTTAACTTAAATCCTAGTCAAACCTCAACATTTTACTCATTTAGTGGGAGAGGATTTAAAATGCTAAGTTACTCATTAAAAAAAAAAAGAGTATTTCATGAACCAAAACATTTTTCAACAAGTTATGAAGAAAATGTACTTCTACAGACTAAATTTAATAGGAAATATCTAGGCAGCTTTAGTCTGATAATCTTCCTAAAAACAGAATGTTTATGCTGCCATTTGGTAATAAAAACACAACTGTCACAATGGTTGAAAAGTATGCTTAAAATGTCCAGTATTACCTACAATGAATCATGAAATTATGGTACCCAAACTTAAGTGACCAAAGGGTTAGAAGCCCTTGCCTAGGCTGGTATTGGCTAGCTCTAGCTCACAAACAATGCATTCTATCTTCAAGGAAAAATAGAAATCAATTAATATAAAAAAATCAAATGGAACAGCATAGAAAACAGGCCACATGGCCACCATGCCATCTGGATTTGAGATGTTGCAATGATATATACATTTTCTAATGCACAAAACTGAACGGGCTCTTCCGATTAGGCTTTTGCTGAGGATAAATGGTTCACAGACCATCAAGACATGAGCAACACATTTCAGCAATGCAGAGCTCCAACAACTACTAGTAAATTTTAAAGTTTCAAATTATATTCCTATTTAAAAGGTTCTGCTCTAATATCCTGTGAGACTGACTGACAGTGTTTCCAAATTTCTACAAAGTTAAAGTGGCAACAAGTATGCCTACTAGTTGAAATACATCCGAATGAATGCTCGCTCTTTTTTTGTTCTCAGGGGTCAGGAAACTAGCAGCTCGATGTGCTGTTCCCTGCTCTTGCTCCCTCTTCCCCTCCTTTGCCTGTTGCGGAGGATACCAACTAAGATCAGGCATTCCAAGTCAATTTTCCTCGGCAGCTGATGCCATAGGTAGAGAATTATCACATAGAGAGTACTGACATGTGTGGGCAAAGACATAAATAAGTAAACTTGACTATATTTTAATGCATGTGATGTCAGACTCACAAGTGAGAGACAACTGAGGAGAGAAAGTGAAAACACAAAAAGAAATTTAAACTGCCACGCTGCCAACCTTGGGATCTGCCAATAAAAATCAAATCCATCGAGTCTGCATGGTTCTCAGATGCTCACTGAGAGGGAGAATTCGAGGGAGCTTGTCACTTCCCATTAAATGTCTTTTTTCTTTCCTTTAAATAAAGGCCTGGCAGAGCCTGAGCGCAGCATCTCCAGCACAGGAAGGCTGCACTGCTGAGAGCTCGGCAGAAATGCATCTGGGCTTCCCGTCCTCTTCCTCCACTTTCTTATTTTAACAAGAGAGACTAAAAATCATGCCTGTGTAAAACCATATGCAAACACAGTCCTGCTTAATCAGATGGTTCTCTGTGGCAAAAATCACATTTCTTGGGATATACTTCAGTTATTTCCCAGTAACTAATTGTAGGCTACCAAGACCAAAAACAAGGGAAGCTTGTAAAACATCAAGTCATTATTTTTCACAGTAATGTGTTTAATGCAGCACTCCACTAAAAGAAAAAGTTAAGTCAAACATTTTTCAAGGAAAGGGAGCTGAAAAAGCACCACCACGGAATGAGACATAACTCTCACGGAAAACGACGACAGTGTGTTCATCTAACAAGCAGCAGAACCGGTGTCTGGTTCTTCATATTTGCTGGGGATTTTAAAAGGGTAAATGAGTACGACGTGACTCAGTCCCCAGGTGAGCACAGAAACAATCTGATCAGTAACGTGTTGGCGCAGCACCGACAGGGCCCGAAGGTCCGGTCTCTCCTGCCATGTGCCAGGGGAGGAGGGGGTAAGCCTGCTAGGACAGCAGCACAGAAGAGGCGACCCTTAAGGCAGAGTGTTCAGCGGCTGGGGAGTCTGGAAACGGCTTTCTAATCAAAGGCAAGCATCTGAAGAAAAGCACAGACAACAGAAAATTCCTCGTATCATCTAGAAACTGGTAACTTTAGGCAGAAAGAGTTTTAGAGTAGAGGAATTCTCCGAGAAGGATACAAGCCGGCGGGGTCCATGTGCTAAGTCACTTTAGTCGAGTCTGATTCTTTGCGACTCTTGAACTGCAGCCCGCCAGGCTTCTCCGTCCATGGGAGTCTCCAGGCAAGAGTACTGGAGTGGGCTGCCATGCCCCCACGTCTCTTATGTCTCCTGCACTGGCAGGCAGGTTCTTTACCACTAGATCCCCCAGGAAAGCACACAGGCCATGCAAAGAGACTTTTCCCACAGTCACCGGGAAAATAACACCATCACACTAGTGCCGATAGAGGGACAAATGTTCTTCCAGCAGTGAGGGTCTAACACAGGACAGGAAAGGAGGGGCTAGGGGTGGGGGTGGCGAGGGAGACAAAATCCAAGGCAGAAAAAAAAAAAACTGAAAATTCCTAGCAGAGCAGTTGAGGGCCTAGACCAAGATGAGGCAAGGGAGAGATGGAAAACTTGGAAACCGGGCCATGACAGAGAAAGGGAGGGGCCTGTACGGCTCTCCAGTAACTGGGCGACCGACTGTGTGGGTCAACAGAAACGATGTCTGTTCTTCATTTTTAAATAAGATATTCACTTCATAGGCATGGGCACAGTCTAGTTACTAATAATTTGTCAGTCAAGTTCTCCAGTTATTTTAGCCACATAATCTTTTTTCCAATTTTTTCTTCAGAAATACTCCTTTGTAGCTCTCAACCACATTCAAGAGGTTCTTAACTCCGATTCTAACACTCTGTGCAAGTTAAAAAAGTTAACCAACCTGAAATTCTGCCCATTATTAAACTGAAAATAGAGAACCAGGAAATGGAAAATGGGATCCAAAGGAATTTACCAGGTTTCTCTACTAGCTGCCCCTCCCAAAGCATCACTAGTGAATTTCCCAGAACAGGGTTTACATGTACAAAGTGGTGATTTCAGAGATGCTCCAGAAGGTAGCTGCTAGGTCTACAAATATTTATTGGACAGAAAAATCAAAGGATAATTATCAGTTTTTCTGATCTGAGATGGTAAGAGCAAAGAGAACTTTGAAAATGCACACCAACATATATACACAAAAATATATGCATACCATATATACACATAAACTGTACACACTTTCTCACAGCATTTACCTTTTTTAAACACTTTCCCTAAAATTGGAGCTGGGGTGTGGGGGAGGCAGCAATTATGTAAGAATCTATTTTCTATCTTTGGCAGCTTCCACAAACCTGATATACTCGTCCCCAGCTACTAAACACTACTAAACCTACCCATTACCATCAAGAGTGGATTCAACTGGAATCTCTCCTTTCATTTGCCTGGGCAGCTCATGGAATGCACCGCTTTCAGAAGAAACACTTAAGCAAGAAGTGTAAGTGTAAATACTCCACATGCAATGATATGCGGTTAAGCTGGAAACTGTGACAAGCCAGGGGTTGGGAAAAGGCAGGAAAGTAGGGACAGAGTGACTGAAACACAGCATTACCAGTAGAAATTTTCCTTCCTAAATGTGAGTCTGTGGCAAAAGTGACCACATCGCAGGGAGAGATGTGAGCCCTGCTCCTCCCCATGAGGGAGGCACAAGGAAGCCTCAGTCCAGTTCTCCTGCCCTTTCCCAGGAGGTGCGGCACCGGCCAGTGTACTGTACACTGCTGAACCTTCAGGCCAGGCGCTGCGTCAGCTCAGAGGGCCGAGGATAAGTGGCTCCCGCCGCGCCTTCCCCAGCAGGCGAGGCAGCGTGTCATGGGGCCACACCACTTCCAGCTCCGGAACCCTGGGCTCACTGGTACCCTCTCCTGTTTCCTCATCCCCTCCAAACAGGCGCAGTGCAAGGATCTCATTCCCGAGGCTGCCCTACAGATCCCTGTGATGAAGGGACAGCCCAGAACATCAACAGACACTCGGTAAAGCAAGGCTCCTCCCAGGAGGCTCCTTCTGTCTGTTCTGAAAAGACATGCTCATCTAAGGCCTGAGCAGCTCCTCCTAGAGGGACGGCAGCTCCACCACAGGAGAGGAGAGAGGAGGAAAAGCTGCTGGAAAACTTCCTTCTTCTGAATGCAAAGGAAAGAAAGGAAAATACATGAGGACGGCTAGATACCGAATATAATAGAGAATAATAAAATATAATTCAAGCTTTCTTCTCTTTGCCTATTTGAACTGTCACCTGTTCTCTGAGAATAATAACAGCCCTGGGGAAATGAAGAATCATCACCTATACAAGTTCTCTTTTAAGGTAAATACTGTAATAGTGAGACGTCAATATATAAACCATGCTGAAACCTTACCACAAAAATGCCTTTCTATCCACGCAATGGGACTATGTAAGTGTCCAACAAGTTTCACAAGATCATTTTAAAAAGGTCTCACACCTAACTCCTCACCCTTGGCCCTCGAGCTCTAGGACACAAATCAAGGAAGATCTACGTTATATTGCAACGTAGAGATACACATTAAGTGTGAGATACCAAACAGACATTCATAAAAGAAAGAATTCTCTTCTACCACATGACTATGGCTTTCTTCGGCATCTATTACTTTATCACATAAAATAGTAGTAATCTCTTGGTCTCACCAGAAAAAGCCAAAGAGCCACCCACTATAGAAGCGCAGCATCAACACAGCATTCTGATGCGCTCCAACTTGTCCAGCATGCATCGCCCACAGAGAGAGATCTAAGCTAGCAGAGTAGTGATTTTAATCACTCTGCCTGCCTTCTCTTTAAGAATTTGTTATTCTGAAAATATATCTAAAAACAAGATATGAAGGAAAAAAACACATACAAAAATCTAAAAAATAAATGAGGCTTTAAATTTGTACAAAATTATAATCAACCCTTGAACAACATTGAGGCTCAAGCACACCAACCCTCTGTTTAACTGAAAATGCGCCTGTAACGTTACGGTTCGCCCTTTGTAGACAGAGTTTTGCACCTGCAGATTCAACCAATCTCAGATTGTGTGATACATATTTATTTTTTAAAAAAACAAACCCACACATAACCTTTCACACTTGTGCTGTTCAAGGATCAACTATCTTTCATTTTTCAAGTTTTCATCTACTTTAAAAACTAGACAATAACACACATCAAAACCTTAAAACCAGTGTCATCAAAATAATTTCAAATAAACTTAAATGAGATGGGTTGAAGAAAGAACAAAATTAAGAGGTTAAAAGCTTCATCCCTAAGAGAATCAAGACTGTTTTTAGGACTGAATTTTTAAAGGTCATATGGGTCAGTCACATAGAAATCAGACACAAAAGAATACAAACTCTATGATTCCATTCATACTAAATTCTGGAACAGGTGAAAATAATCCAGATTCAGTCTGAGGCTGGTGGCAGGATGCAAAAGGGCACAAGAGAATTTAGAGGGTACTAGAAATGTTCTATGGAGAAAGAATTGGCAACCCACTCCAGTATTCTTGCCTAGAGAATCCCAGGGACAGTGGAGCCTGGTGGGCTGCTATCTAAGGGATCGCAGAGTCGGACACGACTGAAGTGACTTAGCAGCAGCAGCAGAAATGTTCTATAGCTGAACTGTGGGGGTGGTTACATGAATGTATGATTCATCTAAACTCATTAAACTGATCACTTAGAACAAGTCCACATACTGTATTTAAAGTACAACCCAGGAGCGCTGACTTTTTCAAGTATTTCCCAGACAATAGCCACAGTCATTTACCCCAATGTCTTTCTGTGCTACAGAAGCAGCCTTCACATACCTGATGCTGTGCCACAGCATGGCGGAACCCACCATGCTGAAGAGAAGATGCTTGCAATCACATCGGGTGGAAAAAGCGTCACATTTCTCTGAATCTGAAGTAAATTTAACACTAATGCAAGAAATACTCCAATAAAAAACAGCACTACTCCTCGAATCATCAAGTTCACACTCCGGCTAGTGACAGATGAGATATATGGACCAGGTTTTTTGGGCCCAAGTGACTCTGTCTCTCCTTCTGCCATGGTTTCATAAGTTCAGTAAGTCGGCCAAGAAATGGTTTCCCAGCTGAAAAAGCTAATTGTATGAACCAAAGCAGACTGGCGTTTCAACAGTACTGCATCTCATCCTAAAACAGGACCTACCAGAAATCCTGCAAGAGAGAAGAAAAAAGGAATCAATGTATGCCTAATAAATGACTATACAGGTTTCCTGATTTCAATACTAGTTCATTTTAAAGAAAAAATAATGAAATGACAAGCTTACATGCTTATTTAAATTATTTATGGAATAAGAAGATGTAAAAAGCATTTTTATACGCATAATGTAATAAAAAAAATAAAGTTCTAAATTTATATTTACTAGGCCAGAACTAGTGACCTTGCTTGCTCCACATCAGTGAGGAAAGCAGCTCAGGCTATGAGAGACACTTTCACTATTGGAGAAACCACAAGATCAAACTCCAGGTTTATGTTTCTTCTACCCAAATCTCCAAGCCCATGTAACTGAAGGGCTTGGAGATTCACGTAGAAATTTTTACACTTTAGAGAACTTTACAGAAAATCGTTATATTCTGACTGTCAGTGTTTTAGTGTTCTCAGTAAAATGTGACTTGCTCATGAGGACGATTTCCATAGGGGAATAAAATGACTCTTTTAATGTTTAATGCTTAAATATGTGAATTTCTGCACAAAGTGACCTATAAAAAACAGACCACCACCCGTTCACTCACACATACAGCAAGCACAGAAATCACACCTGACCCACTGTCCCCAGGGCCAGAGTTGTGTCTCACCCCTGCCGTGACCCAGTTCACCTTTGTTGCAAACATGAGAGCTACTGTGAGAAAGCTGGAGTAGGACGCAAAAGAAAGGAAGCTAAGAAAACAAAGAATAACCTTTTGGCTAGATTCTAAGCAGTTCGAGTAACAGGGCACCTGATTTCTAAAACCTAGAACTTTGCCAAGTACAATCACTCTAGGTATTCACTCCCCATCACTCCCCACCCTTGCCAAACCAAAGGGATCTTTCCTTTGTACCCAGAAGTGAGTTTTAAGAGCATGCATGCATGCTCAATCATGTTCGACTTTTTGCAACCCCATGGACTGGAGCCCACCAGGATCCTCTGTCCATGGGATTTCCCAGGCAAGAAATACTGGAACGGGTTGCCATTTCCTACTCTAGGGGATCTTCCTGACCCAGGGATTAAACCCATGTCTCCAGGGTCTCCTTGTCTGTTTAAAGCAAATAACACTTGACACTATCCATGGCATTGGTGGTAAAGAACCCACCTGCCAGTGCAGGAGACATAAGAGACGCAGGTTCGATCCCTGTGTGGGGAAGATCCCCTGGAGTGAGGGCATGGCAACCCACTCCAGTACTCTTGCCTGGAGAATCCCCATGGACAGAAGAGCTTGGCAGGCTGCAGTCATAGGGTTGCAAAGAGGCATACACGACTGAAGCGACTTGGCACACATGAGCTATCCTCATTTAATTCTCACAACCCCCACAGGTGAGTGCAATTATGTCCATATTATAGGCGAGGTAAAAGGCAAAGAAAGGCTGTCACTCAAGCTTCCACCCTTAGTAAGGGGGCAAAATGGAATTCAAATCCACACAGTCTGTCTGTCTCCAAAACCCTCACTCACACCATCATGTCCAGCCTCCCAAACTCTTACAAACTCCCCTAGGTGTTTTGTTTTGTTTTCTTCTATAAATACCAATTTTTTTTTTAATGGGAAAGTACTATACAGACAATTTTCATAACTTACTATTATCCCATCCAACAATGTATCTTGGGCATTGCCACCTCAGTACATAAATTATATTTTCTCTCCTCTTAGTTTATTTAAAACAAATATGGCACTTCTAAGAGCAACATTATGTTGATATGTATATTTGCTTTATGAAATACAAACTTTGTATGTACGTCTCACTCACTATCAAGTTTCATTGTGCCTACGAACCCAGAAAGGTACCTACGGAGCCCATACTGGGAGCTCCACAAATTCACATTTGTTTAATCAAATTGGGTTAGCTCTTTCTGAATCAAACTATACTGGGTTAAGCAAGTCTCTTGGAAGGTGAACCTAACCAAACATTTAATCATTTAAAATATCTTTCCTCTAAGTGTCCAAGTTTCAAACTACCTTACAAATGAATTTTGGAATAAAGCCCATGTGTACACTGTAGGGGGGATGGGGGAGTTTATTTTAGAAATAAACAGTACAAAAAAAATGAGAACATCTGTAAGTACTAGTAACTTTCACAGCCTATCAGTTCCATGCAATAAACACTGACAATAGACTTTTTTTTAACTGCCTCTACCACACTCGAAGCTCTATGCCCAACACCCAGGTGGGGGGGGGGGGGGAATTCTATCCTCAACCTCACAAACCTACTTAAGTCTACAGCATCACTGACCTCTATAGCTTAGTCACCTAGAGAAAACAGTACATATTACAGTTGATTCAAGGGAAAGTGTCATGTGCTGTAGTGTTCAGTAGCTACAGAATTCATCATCATCATCACAATCATGATAAAGAACCCATTTATGGAGGGACTACTCTATGCCAGGCACAAAGTAACCCTAACCTTCAAAATAATGCTACAGGTAGGTATTATCTTCCACATTTTACAAGTGAAGATATAAAGTCAGAGACTTAGCAACTTTCCTATGGTCACATGACTGGCAGTATTAGAAATGAATACTACATCTGACTGATGCCAAAACCCCTCCTCTATCTAATAACCTTGAGACCCATTCCAGCCCAACTCCTCAGACTTCTTTTTTGGCACATCTCTTACAGAAGGGGATTTGGTTACTGAAAAGATGGACAGACACTGGAAAACAATCTCAACTGTAAACATTCTAATGACATTCAGTTCAGTTCAGTTCAGTCGCTCAGTCGTGTCCGACTCTTTGCGACCCCATGAACCGCAGCACGCCAGGCCTCCCTGTCCATCACCAACTCCCAGAGTCCACCCAAACCCATGGCCATTGTGTCAGTGATGCCATGCAACCATCTCATCCTCTGTCATCCCCTTCTCTGACTGCCCTCAATCTTTCCCAGCACCAGGGTCTTTTCAAATGAGTCAGCTCTCTGCATTAATGATAAAATGACATTATTAATGTCAATTAATATCCAAGTAGGAAGATCATAAGAATAAATGTACAAACACCTTGTGATTTTCTTTAAGAGTATCAGATCAAGGAGTAAAAAGATGTCTTAAAGAAAAAATCATATGGCCAACTTCATACAATATTCAACAACAGTCAACTCTTCATTTCCCAAACTTCAGTAGATACAACAATACCCCCTGCCTTCTGCTGTTAAGACCACTTCTAGTGCACAAAGAGTAAATACACATTTTCAGTAACCCAACTGCTCTAGTAAATCACTTGTTTCTGTCTGAATTTTTCCAAAGGGGAATTCTATGTCTAATAATATTTTTAAAAGAACAAAATAGCTTCAATTTTTAAAACCTGCTTCCAGTGTAGTACACCCCATCTCACATCACTCACTAGTTTTTGTCAAAGAGCAGGACAAAACAGGGCAGGACAATTTCTGGTTGCTTGGAACTGCCCTCAGCATTACAAAACATTGAGCAACCCTGGCTCATGCCCACCAAATGCCAGCGCATGCCCCCTCCCCACTTGGAGAAAACTAAAAATGGCCTTAGGTATCTCCAACCACCCAAACACCCACAGGGAAGCAAGGCGCTCCCACCGAGAGCCACTGATTGCCAGGCTCCTTCCTCATTCTATTTCAAGGCTGCTAGAGACTTTCTACACTGTTTATGTTATTCTGCCACAGCTGTTTATTCAATCTTTCCTGAAAGTGCTTGTTTATAGTTTCCTACTTCACCACAAAAGTAGTTTTTTTTTTAAAAATAACACAACACTGGTCTGATGTTTATTTGAAAAGATTTTTTTCAGCTACTTTTTTAAGACCAAAAAGCTAATTTTGTGACTATATAATAATACAATAGCATATAATTTCTGGAGACAAAAATAAAAGTTAAAATGCTTTAGAATCACACTATCCTAGAATTAAAGAAATGGAAGGGAATTGGGAGTTCATCTATTTCAGGGGGTATGTAAGTCTGATGCAAAACAAAAGCAAAGAAGTTGTGCATATAAGCATTCTTCTGAGAAGAGAGTTTGGACATTTTTACATCAAGTTCTCAAAAAAAAAAAAAAAAATCCATGATCCAAAAGAAGTTAAGGATCAGTGATCTAACAGTTTCCTGGCAAAGCAAATGAGACCCAAAGTGGTTAAGTGAAGTGACAAGATCAAGAAAGTATATACCGGATCTTCCTATGACAAACAAGTATAGCGAACTCCTAGAAATGGCCAGACTGACTCATCAAAGGGATAAAACATTCAACACCCCCTACTACACAACAATTAAGTTCCTAAAAAAGCATGTTTATAATAGTCACTCTTTAGGGGAGTAGGTTATTTTAAAGTGAAAGCTCTTGGAATAAGTATCCTTAATAATGTTTTATTATTTTTTAATACATTTTAAAGTTTGGTTTTCTGATTATGAACTGATAATATCTTCCTAAAGTGTATCTATATCTTTAAATGTTACTATTAATCAGTGATAAATTCGATTCTGAAAAAATTTTTAAACATCTATATTTGAAAAATTTAGGTTACCCAAGAAATACTTTTCTGATCAAGAAGTCTCCAGTATAAAAATACCACTTAAAACATAATACCTCAATAGATCCTCAACAATAATCCTAGTAAGTAGGCAGGTGTTTTTTAATCCTTAACCTTTTCTATTTTACAAAATAACATAGGTTAAGTAACCTTGTGCGAGTATAAAACTGTTGCCAGGTAGTACCTGGACTGGTCCCAAGCACGCTGGCTGCTGGCTCCCTGTCCAGAGTGCTTCTTCACCACAATTGCCTTTTCTAAAAACACCATACAAAAACAATTGAGTGCCACACAAGAAATAATTTTTAAAGCCATTTTTTTACGCAAAAAAAAAAAACTTTTTTTCCCCAAAAATTGACAAAGAAGAAACTTCCACAGAACATGAAAAATTCTACTTTAAGCCCCTGACCTACAACTTCTATAGAGTACGTTACTGAACAAAAAGAATATAGTTCAAATAGTTTGGATAGATCAATAACAAATCATCAAAACTGGGAAACATTACTCCCAGTCTATGGCTGCCAATCAATGGGTTATTATTACCATCAGATAAATAAAACGGTGTTGTAACTGATTCTCCACTTTGTGGATGAAAATCAAAGTTTACATTTGCCACTGAAAAAACATCCCAGCAATAGGCATTTGAAAACAAACACACAAACAAAATCTGCTGAAGAACTGATTAAGAATCAATTGTATTTTAACAACTGCAACACCCCCAAAACCAAATAAGATCATTAGTCTTCAGAGGAAGAGCAGTCACAGAAGTGTGTTTATTACCCTGTCTCTTCAGGTACTTAGGTCAGAAAGGTTACTAAATAATAAAATTAAATTACTACCTTCCACTTTCTTATCCTATGCTCTAGTAATTACAAAGGCATTCTCAGAATAGAATAAACATCACAATGAGGAAAAACACAAATCAATGAAATTCTCCTTTAAAAAAAAAGCACACAGATGTGATGCATAGGCTATGGACACTAAGAACTTCTAGGAAGAAAAACATGTTGGCCTTGAAGACCCTGCAGCTCATCTTTCCTATCAACATTAAAACCCAAACACAGAAACTATTAAGCAATATTTGCATCCCATTCCTGCTTTTAAATAACAATCTCAGTCCACAAAAAGGTTACTCCATCGTTGCAGAATAATTTTCTGATAACGATGAAAATAAGCTCTGTCCTTAAAGTACTGAATTGCTTTCCGCCATTCGTAGAAGCAACAGTTGTCAGTTTAAAAAGAATTAACCTCTTTTCCCAAATAAACATACATGATTCATAGCTTGGTCACTTTATATCAGATATGTACTGAGAACTGTAACAAAACACTACTCAACCTATTGTCCAGAGAAAGAGGGAACAGGAAGAGTACATGGCTATTAAGGGGGGGTGGGGGGTGGGAGGAGGGGGGATATTAATGGGGTCCCTCCATTCATTTTCACTCAACTGTTCCCTATCAAGGCCAAATCTCACAATTAGCAGATACAAGCTGGCCATTGCCAGGCTGCCTTCATTCCTCCGAACCCAAGACTGGAGCCTGACTTCCCTGCAACCCTCAGTCCCACTGCAATGCTGATCCCTGCCAGTCTCAGTGACCCAGCTGTCAAGACTATGCATTCCTTCTTGAAGCATTTCCTACAGAATATTCCTACAGAATAGTCAGCTCTCCTTGGTATATTTTCCTAGACTATCTAACGCCATACTTCACCAACTTTTTGCCAATGCTAACTGAACATGGGTCGCTAGCACTAAAGTTTTAGCACCCTCTCCCCTTTGTCCCCCATTATACCCACACTGCTTTCCTTTTCGAGATGGCCAATTTTCAGTGACCAAGCCTAAAATCTCCGAAACTATCACCAACTGATTTCAGGGTCCTGGCAAGAGTTCTCTTTGGCTTTACCTCATACGTACTCCAGAGGTCTCCAATTAAAATCCAAAATGCCAAAATCCCACTCCTCAACCCAATATCTACAAACCTTTTGGCTGATTATAAGCGTACTATCAATACAATACCAACCTTTCCAGATCCTTTCCCCTCCTAAACCTGAGTCTGGTCTCCTTGGCTACGAGCCTACCAACTCCTGACAGCTCTAAGCTTGACAGCTCGCCGACTCTACCCCTTCAAACCTCCGGGGTCGCCCTTCCCGCCGTCCGCCAGCCTTCTTTCCGCCCGGGCACTCTTCCACTGTCCAGGGAGTCTCGGCCTCTCCTAGGCCCTCTCCCTGACCCAGCCGTCCCCTTCCGGATCTCGCCGACCCTTCTCCAGGTAAGCGGAGCCCCTCGCCCTTCAGGCCCCATCTGTGGTCCTGGCTCCTCACACTTGCCAGGAGGGTTCCCAGGTTGCAAAAATGCAAGCGATTCCTCTCCCCGACGTCACCCCTTTCCTCAGGCTCTTTTCCTCAACATCAAGTCACTGGCGCTTCCCCTGGGGACCCCAACTCACCCCCGCCTCCGCCATCTTCTGGGACCGGCCCCCGCCCCCCTCCGCCGCTTCCTTCTCCCCTCCCACAACTCCGCCCGCGCTCCACTGCGCCTGTGCGGTCGACGCTCAGACGCTCAGACGATCGGGGCAGAATAACTTCCGGTTCCCACAGGCGCCAGGTGGAAGGCCGGAGAGCCGGGGCAAAAGAACTTCCGGCCTCCACGAGGGTAGTGGCACCTGTAGGCGTGGACCGTCGATTGGCTGTTGTTTGCTGACCGGGCAGCCGTGGGTTGTGAGGATTGCCCAGACACTGTGGGCGGTGCCAGAGAATCGCGCAGCTACTCACGCAAACGCTTGGCGCGTCTCTCTGTTCCGAGCTGAAATCGGAGTTCTGGAGCGCAGGTGGCTGGTCCTCCTGCTAGGGATGCTGACAGTATCTTTTGTGATTTCACCGACCTTTATTCTCTATCTTTTTTCGTTCCCTTCTAAAGTCATTACTTTTTGGGGGAGAGAACATAATTGATAATTCTCTCTTCTCCATCCCACAGCACTTTATGCGGCATTCATTAATAATCGTTCCCCGAGTTTGACCAGGTAAAGCGGTTTGGGGACAGTTTTCATAGGAAGAGCTTTTGAGGTTTACAGCGAAGTAGATTTTGCTAGGTACAATACAAACTACTAAGAGGAAAATACAAAGTAGAGAAATTACAGCCTTTTATTAGTCAGAAGTAGTATCATAATATGATTGTGGTCAGGTTACAGTGTTCTTGTGGAAAGTTTTTTACATGAAGTTTGGGCCTGGGATTATTGTTTAAGAGCTGTGCAAAGGAGTGTTAATTGGTGAAATTCCTTTGTATTTTTTTTTTTACTTTGAACTGATTAATGATGCTATGTTTCTGACCTTTTTATGGGTACGTTTATTTCTGAAAAATTTGAAGACGACATTAAATTTGCACCAAAATACACCTAAGCAAGTATTTACATGGCCTTTCTTATTTTCTCTGTGGCCTTTCTTATTTTCTCTAATGTTTCCTAAAGGTTGTAAATTCTCCGGTAGGTTTTCACATTACCAGTAGGAAAAAAAAAAAAAAAAGGATAAGGATGAATTATACTGAATGGATGAGCAATTTTTAAAAGAAAAGAGAAAAGCACCCAGAAAAGAGTAACTTCAAAATGTCCTTACATCCGGGGCCCTCTTTAAAGCCCCATGAGTCCTCTTCATCAGGGTTTTGCCTTTTTCAAACACTTCAAAATTGTCTTCAAGAAATTGCTTATGGAAAATTTTATCCTGGAGAGGCTTTTGTTTTAGTTTAAATATTTATTGATTTCAACAAGAGACAAGACCTAAAAAGCAACCATGTGGCACCAATTTCTAAGTTTCTTACATCCAATACAGTCATTCCTATTGTGGTATAGGGCAGAATACAAAGTCCTCAGGAGAAATACAGAGAACCGCTGTCTTCTGATTCAGTTTGGGGACAGTTTTCATGGGTTATAAGGAGGCAGATATTATGGGGCTGTGCATTCTGATGAGAGCTCAGAGATGGGAAAACTTGAAATAGATGATGGAGCCTGGTGCATGGACAGATGTCTTTTTTTTTTTTTCTCTGACAGAAGTCTTAAGACATGAGATCTGAATGTCATACTCATAAATTTGGACTAAGCATTTGTTATTATCATGGAAATGTGAAAATCACAAATTACTTGATGCCAGAATATAAATTGATGAAGAACTCTGAGAAATTGAAATAACTGCATTACTTTGAAACAGGTATAATGTGGCTGAGAGAACACTGGTGAAGGATTCTTGAAAACTGGTGCCCTGACAGCACGTGCATAATCATATCCAAAAAATTCACCTTTTTTTGGCCTTTTTTCTTGTTTGTAAGATGAGGGATTGGTCTAGGTTGTTTTTAAGGTCCTTTTCATAGGCAAATGTATCAATGATTTGATAATTCTGTAACATAAGGAAACAGGTTTTTTCCATTAACCTTACGTGTTGTTTGGCTTTCCAAGTGAATAGGACAAAAGGCAAACTGGAAAACAAAACCTTTCTTACTTAGCTAACATAAACACCCACAGAAGTTTATTTACCTTGTTAAAGTGAGATGTTGTTAGACTAACATTAATTATTGCCTAAGAGTTGATGACTAAGCCTCTAAGAACCTGGACTTGGAAGCCTTACCCAAATTAAAACCATCTCCCTGGGGGGAAAAAAAAAAAAAGGTGTTACAGTTTTCCTAGTCAATAGCTAGAAACTGGAACACTAGTGACAGTAGTACTAGTTTTGATGGTGTTTTGATGTAGGAATACATATAGTTCTGGGACACAAAAAGTCAAGGATTTTTGCCTTTTTGAGAGTCCAGGATGGATCATTTATTCATCCATCCTTTAACAACTATCACCTGAATATCATGCACACCCCAGGCACTTGGCACTGAATCCCAGGAGGAGAGCAACCTTTTCTGCCTCCTGAAGTTTGTGGTACGTTTGGGGAAACACACAGTAAATAGTTAATATATAATTTCAAAGTGAGACAAGTGATGACGATGAACATCTCCCTATGCAATAGAAAATAAAGGGAAAAACTGGGAGGCTAGATATGACTTCAGGTGTGACTTCAAGATAGGAATCTTCTAAGAGCAGGGTGAAGAGCAAGAGTGAAGGTACTAAAGCTGCAAAATCTGTAAATCCCAGGAATTGAAGGCAAAGAAGCTAGTGACTAGCAATTGAGAAGGTTATAAATTGTGTATTAACATTGTGACTTACTATATGCAGTGTGTGTGTGTGTGTGTGTGTGCTCAGTCACATCTGACTCTTTGTGACCCCATGGACTGTAGATCTCCAGTCTTCTCCATCCATGGAATTTTCCAGGCAAGAATACTGGAATGGGTTGCCATTTCCTACTCCAGGGCATCTTCCCAACACAGGGATCGAAACTGCGTCTCCTGTTTCTCCTGCATTAGCAGGTGGATTCTTTACCACTGTACCACCACTATGTGCCAGGCACTATGCTGAATTCCATTTCTTTTCAGATGCTCCAAACCCCTTCAAAACAGATACTACGTAGTAGATGAGAAATTAAGATCAAGAGCAGTGTTCTCAACCTTGGCCGCATAATAAGATCACCTGTGGATCTATTAAAATTTCTAGTCCCTGAACCTCACCCTCCATATATTCTGATTTAATTGGGCTGAAGTAGGGGCTTGAGCCCTTCTAATAAATCCCTTGTGTAATCTTAACATGAAGCCAGAATTGAGAATTGCAGTCTTAAAAGTTAATTTGCTCAGGGTCAGTTAACAACTAAGTGGCAGAGGAGGCAGAAATTAAACCTAGATCTGTCTGATTCTAAAGCCTGTGCTCTTGGCCACTCATTAATACTTAACATTCAACTACATGTAGCACTAGTTATGTACTAAGAATTTTATAAAACACAGAAATAAAAATGAACAAGCCAGAGGCTTGCCTTCCAGAAACTCACAGTCTTTTAAGGCAGAAGTCTCAGTAAATGAAGCTTGGCCAGCTCATGTAGGCAGAAGCAAGCTATCTGTGGACTCTGAATGAGATTAGTTATGTTCATATTTCAAGCTAGATTGGCATTGAAGGTAACTGATGCATCAGGGAATTTACGTGGGTGGATATTGCAGTCATCGTTTGAAAGGTGGTACAAGCCTAAACTAAGACAATGGCTAGGGTGCAAAGAGAATCTGCAGGACTCGCTGATCGATGATGTAAGGGTGGGGACAAACAAGAAAGAAGTGGAAGATGAATTCAGAGTTTTGAGTTTCATAGACTCGCTGGAAGTGAACACCACTGATCTAGAATAAGAACACAGGACTGGCATCTGGAGTTCAATGAGTTTGAAATACTTGTTGGACATTTAGGTAAAACTCTTGATGAGAGTGTTGGAAATGTGTGTCTGAAATTGAAGTGAACAAATGGGTAGAAATAGAATTCTGGAATCATTGACTTCCAGGTGATAGTTGAAGGCATGCTTTGCATAGTGTGTATGCTCTGTATGGATTTTTTTAAAAGACAGCAGACATCTAGAGGAACAAAAATCCACAAAACCTGATATTGCTATATTTGAACAGTTCAATAAGGCTATTTTTATCTACAGTGATATTAAACCAGTCAACTTGTGATCATCCATGATGAGATTTTAATACTTTGCAGAACTTTTCTGGCCATACGGCCAATTTAACAGATGATGCATAGCCATGGAATGCAAACCCATTTTAAATACTGGCCAAATATTTAAGAATGCTATATGATGCATTCAAAATGTAATAGAAATATTTTACAGCAGTGTTTACATACATAAATAATTTGTATGTAACCCTAGTTTTGTTTTTGATTATTTTAATATTACTTAAACTTAAAAAAACTGTAATGTTCTAGATATAAAACTAGTTAGAAAATTCTTAGGCTTAACTCATACCAAAACATTTGCAAAATAAATATGAACAAAGGTTTAAAAATGTAATCTTCAAGTTACAGAATGTGAAAGATATTTTTGAAATTGAAGCATTTCAATAAATATTGACGTGGAACAACAGACTGGTTTCAGATTGGGAAAGGACTACGTCAAGGTTGTAAATTGTCACTCTACTTATTTATCTTATATGCAGAGTACATCATGTGAAAGGCCAGGCTGAAGGAAGCACAGCCGGAATCAAGATTGCCAGGAGAAATATCAATAACCTCAGATATGCAGATGAAACCACCCTTATGGCAGAAAGCAAAGAAGAACTAAAGAGCCTCTTGTGAAAGGCCAGGCTGAAGGAAGCACAGCCGGAATCAAGATTGCCAGGAGAAATATCAATAACCTCAGATATGCAGATGAAACCATCCTTATGGCAGAAAGCAAAGAGAGCTAAAGAGCCTCTTGATGAAGGTGAAAGAGGAAAGTGAAAAGGCTGGCTTAAAACTCAACATTAAAAAAAAAGAAGATAGTGGCTTCCAGACCTATCATTTCATGGCAAATAGATGGGGAAACAGTGAAAGATTTTATTTTCTTGTGCTCCAAAAGCGCTGTGTACAGTGACTGCAGCCATGAACTTAAAA